CCCCAAAACCCCAAAACCCCTTTAGATGAATCAAATAGTTTTTATATAATTTGCAATTTATTAAATTAAGTAGTAATATTGCTCAATCATCTAGATTTTTAAGGGCTTTTTCTTCGACATAGTTTTGCATGCATTTAATGAATAATTTAACCATATCATTTTTGCTAATCTTCTTTGCTTAGAACTAATCCAAGATCTTTAAGTTTTCGAGAACTGTGGAGTACTAAATCTTTACAACGTTTTTCATTGTATGTCTCATTCTCTCCCTATATTCTCTATCCAAGGTTTTTAATGATATATCTTAAATTAGTATAATTTTGGATGCAATTTTGTCATTTATCTCTTAATAATTACCATGAGTAAGTAGAGAGTAGTAGTTAGTGGCTGCGAATTCTAAAAATTGCATCATTGTTTAAATAGTATTTGGAAATTAAATATCCATTTGGGGTGGATTGTAACTCAACCTGCTCCTTTAGTGAGCTTATTAGTGGAAGAATTCTTCGTCATCATACTTAAAAAATTGAGAAAGTATCAACTAAATTATCTAAATTGCTTCAAATTTTATCTTAGGTGCAAATGAGTTGACATACAGCTCATTTAAAGAATTTAAAAATTATAGAAACACATCCTCTCCATTACACAGTAGAAAGAGATAATCGATGTTACAAGCCTCCCTTAAAGTTTTGAGAATTTCTTCAGTTATATCAATTTTAGTTTTATCTCTCTCAGTTCTTATTTCCCTAACAATACCAATTTATTAAATGACATAGTTAAGCTATAACTAGAAGGTTTCAAAAGTATGCTGCAAAACTCTAACTTGAGCATCTACACTTAGATTAAATGTATTAAAAACTTTGAAGTAGGTTGCTTAAATCTCAAGTTTGTCACTTTCAATTATTTAGTACAGATATTTCAAGTGTATTTGCAGATTTATGTCTTTGAAAATAGAAGCTCTTTCAGAAACTAGTTCTATTATTCTACAAGATACTATTTAATCAAATCCATTTTTAATTATCTCTTAAAAGCACGTATCAAGAAACATACTAAACAAGAGTTTAATCTAGTCATTGATTGGCTATCTAAATCCCTTAACTAAATATGATATTATATTTAGCATATAGATTTATCTTTTAATGTCCCCTGTTGCTGCTTTTACATCATTCAGGGTTTTCTATAGATATTGAGTAAACAAATTAATTCTCATTTAAATATCTACTGAATCTTCGCATAGTAATGATCCAAATACTTGAAATATCTTCTCCGAAATGAAATCCTTTTTATCTAAATTCCTGACTGATTGCAAATTTGAGAATAAGTTTTCACTTATAACAGTTAGCAGATGGCCAGCAAAATTGGAAATGATTTTTTAATGGTTTTGTCTGAACTCTTTCATGAAGAGCATGCTTGATTATTGCTATAGTTATATTTCACTACTTAAAAGACCATTCTTTGAGAATAGGAAATCTAGTATGTGTTTAGCTTTTTACTCAGAAATATCTTGGAACCCTAATGAGTTATAAATCTCGATTAAATATTCAGCATAAAGTGTGCAGTTAGAGTTTACCAAGACGGGATGGAAAATAATGAACTCATACTTTTCAATAAACTGCATATTGTTATTGTAGTTTCTTCTCTTAAACAAAATAGTGTGGATGATGGCAAATATGACATCCATTTCTCTAACATCAAGGAATTTTTAATTGTTTATGACATTCTAAATCTTCATATCTAGGTACTGCAATAGTCCATTATACAAGTGATCTTAATTTACTCCACTGCCTATAATAATGAACAAGCTCTCTCTAATGTCAAGAAATTTTTCCTCATCATCACTAATCGATGATTTCTTTGTAACATCAAACCAATGAGGGTATCTAAGTTTCTCCAATGAATGCTAGATGATGGATATTATTTGACTTTCAAGGTTAATTATTTAGACCTTGAGATTTAGCTGAACGAAGTTGGTGAAAAGATCTGCTATTACCCCCTAAGTCTTGAGGTTATCAAGCTAGAACAGATCTAATGCGATCGTAAAAACCTGATTAATCATTTCATATATCTGGTTTTTCTTGAACTGTATCTCTGAGTTGTCTGAGTCTGAAATTTTCTTTTCTTCATTCATTTGCTAATCACTTTTGCCAGAGTTCATTTTCTTCCTCAACCTCATAGCTTCCAAATCATGATCATCTTAGATTTATTCAAATACATCATCATCAATCTCATCTTAGTCTGAGTCAAAATTAAGAGTATTGATATTGTTAAATGCAAATTTATTTTTCCACGTTCTTTTTTGCCTTCCCTTATTTTCTAAACTCATCAGCTCATACTACCAATGGCTTAAACATCTAGCTAGTAATTTAGAAATCTGGTAGAATAGATTGGTATCATCAAACAATGCCCATTATTAAATATTTCCAAAAACTCTCATCATTATATTCGACAGTAAATCGAAACGAGTATGCTGATTAATGCAGCTTCTTAGATATTTAATTGAGTTTGCAATGACATTTGATAATTCTGACTCTAGCATTTATTCTGCTATCGGTATCAGGATTCCATGAACATATTCTGACTCCTAATTGTCTCTAGATAATTTATCTATTACACTCAGGATTGTTGTTCTACTTTGAATAGGTGTGTTAAAGTCTTGGATTAGAGCCAACAAAAAGTCAATGACTTTAACATTGTTGAGGAAGAATAATTTTCTCAGTCTGTCAGATTCCATTAAATTGATTTTATCGTAGGTTTTCAAGCTGTGATTTAATTCAATTAGAGTACTTATGAGTAGGTTGTAATAATTCATATAGATTTCATAGCCTTACTCACTCTGATTTATTTAGCTCTGCAATGGAACAATGATGTTTTAAATGAGCTAATCAAATAAATTCTCAGCGACTCCATCATTTAGTCTTTGGAATGCTAAGGATAAGAATTAGCAGTATTTTTAATTGAAATTCCTCTAACTTAACACAGATTAAGGGTTTTCTACAAGAAGGCCAATAGCGAATGAGAAGAACTTCTATTTTTCTTCAAGTGGCAACTTATGATGCTTCTTGTCTACAATCTCAGTGAGAGCATTTAAAGCCCAGAATCTAATAACTTCAGGATTGGTCATATTTCCTACAAAGATAAAGAATTCATGCCAATTTTAAAAGTTGTTATCTACGAAATCATTGCAGTATTCTTTGGCCTTTTGAAGTTAGAGTTTATCATAAAGATTCTGATTGTTTATAATATTTATTGCATTTGATAAATCTTCCATTGACTTTTTCTTTAGAACAATTACTATATTACTTAAAATTAATTTTAATTAATAGTTGCCTTCTTAAAAATACTTTAAGTTTGACTTAAACTTAATATTTTCAATTTAATCAATGTTATACCCTTAATTTATGATGCATGGGGTTTTGGGGTTTTGGGG